TCTCTAGAGACGCAAACAGATCCACTTGTGCCTGGCCGAACACCCTCCATATTTGCTCCACCACCTCGGGGTGGAGCTTCCATTCCATTCAAGAGGTCACTACGTTTCCGGGTGGACCTTGAGATATGTGCCAGCCGGAGACCGCTGCACCCTGAAGCACATGAGGTGGCAGGGTTGGCAGAACGGTTCCCTGAGGGCACCGAATGGAGACAAGCACCGTATAATGAGGTGTTGACCGCTCCTCTTCGGGGGGGGGGGGGGGGGGGGACTGCCCTCACTGGCCTGAGCCCTTGGGCATCAGGACCTCTTTCCTGCAGCCTTCTTGGAAAAAATGACGGTCCTCAGATCAGTCTTACCCCTCGAAGACCGCGGCTGAGACACCTTGGTGTGGAGATTCAGGGGAAAACGGTAGGCCCCGGGGTTGAGGTTGGGACCGTGATGGCAGGAAGCGTTCATCCAGCAAGGTTTTGGAGCAAACGTCCTGCTTTTCTGCTGGCCAGTCAATACTCAGTCTTTCAACTGCTCTTGTCACAACCTCAACCAGCTCCTCAAACGAATGAGACTGAGGTGGCGAATCCTCAGTATCTCTTGCGTCTAATAGTTCACCCTAAAATGAAAAGTAAGTTATTATTTACTCACCCTGGTGTTGTTGTAATGGCGTAAGCCCTTATGAACCACAAAAGGACAATTTTTAAAAAACTGTCCTGCTTGTGCTTGTCCATATAATGGCAGTGAATTGCGAACAGCATCAAGCTTTTTAAAAAAAGACATCATATTTTTTACACGTTCTGGTGTTTACAGTAGGGTTTGGTTAAAAACGAACCGAAATTCAATGTATTATTTAATTAAATTCCTGAGCGTGGCCATTGGTCGTCTGTGCTCGACTGCGTTCATGAGACTGTATTATCACAGCAGTTCACTCTGACTCACACAGAAAAACACACAAGTTTCAAGATTAATGAAAACATGTTTTTGTTGCAATGAAAAATACATATCAACAAAAAAAAATACACTGACAAAAATGGGATGATATGACAATGAAACATCGCCTAAATCAAGAATCTGACATTCACAAATCCCAGTCTGGCCTGCGTATGACCTGTTGTTGTGTTCGCTGAAGCGGAAAACACATTGACATCTGTCTTGTACTGTAATTTCCAGATGAATGCATGTAAAGCTCGGCGTGAATGTGTACACTCTTTGTTTAAAGCAGTCTGTAAATGATAGTTCATTAGTCAATAACATGCTTGTTTGCCTTAAACCAAGCATGACTAATTGGGTTATTCCCGTCACGCTGAGACAGAAAAACTGAGGGAGATATTGGCTTGGTGAAGGGTAAATATTGCCTTATATAATTTACAATAATTACACAAAAAGATCAAAGTTGTGCGTCACTGTCATATTGAAATAGGAACTGTAATATTTGCCAAATTAAGCTCCACGGAAACGGCTTGTTACATGAGTTATGAGTAGCTCATGCAATAAAGACAAACTTTTGTGTTTTAGGTCAAGATCAGATGCAGTTTATAAACATTCATCATTACCAAAATAGGTGCATTTTATATGATATTGTTTTCTGTCCTAGACATTGTTTTTTAAAATGTTTTTGTCAACAACATAAAACCGTTATTCTCAATTTTTTCTTAATCAATGTTTGTAATTAATATTTGACCTTACAGTACACATATTTTTTTTTGCATCTGGCATACTTAAATATCTCTGAAAATGTTTGAAAAATGAATCTTTAAATAACTTGTTGGTACACAAACTTTTATGTTTTCAATTCAGTAGCCTGTTTGTCCCATTTGCAGGTGTAGATCATGCAAAAAAAAAAGCATGTTTAAGTTTTTATGCTTGTATTTATTAAAGGGATACTCCAATTTTTTTGGAATAGGCTCATTTTACAACTCCCCAGAGTTAAACTGTTGAGTTTTACCGTTTTTGAATCCATTCAGCCGATCTCCGGTTCTGGCGGTACCACTTTAAGCATAGCTTAGCATACATCATTGAAGTGGACAAGACCATTAGCATTTTTCACCAAAAAAAATGACCAAAGAGTTTCGATATTTTTCCTATTTAAAACTTGACTCTTCTGTAGTTACATCGTGCACTAAGACCGACGGAAAATGTAAAGTTACGATTTTCTAGGCTGATATGGCTAGGAACTATACTCTCATTCCTGCGTAATAATCAAGAAACTTTACTGCCGTACCATGAGAGCAGCAGGCGTAATGATATGACGCAGCGCCTGAAAATAGGCTACCTTCCGTCAACACAACGGGACTATTTTCAGGCGCTGCGGAGATCGGCTGAATGGATTCAAAAACGGTAAAACTCAACAGTTTAACTCTGGGGAGTTGTAAAATGAGCCTATTTCCAAAAAAAAGTGGAGTATCCCTTTAACATGATGCATGGTCCTATTAAATAAATGAATAAATAAAATAATCAAGAATCAGTGTCAAATATTCGGAGAGAGACCACAGTTAATTTCATATAACGCTAAATTATGATAATTTGTTATTATGAGATAATGTGAGTTATTAATTTGTTGATGTGCTGATTGTGAACGCTGGAAGAAGCCCGGAGGTTGAGCATCCCGAACACACTCTGCATGAGAGCCTCGGAAAGGTTTGACAGTGAACAGGGCGAGCCGAAGGCCACATGGGGGCTCTCAGGGGTCAAAGTTCAGCAGTGTTGTTCACTGAAGTCTCGCTGCATCTCTTGAGACGTGTAAACCTGATGAAGTTTGGATGAACAGATGCGGCTTTACTGTTATACGTTAATCAGACAACAGAGAGAAAACTCTGAGAAGAGAGATTCTATACTTGGTTCTGTCAGGCGCTTCATTCATGCTTTTAGGGGTTCATCCCATCATGGGATCATTTTATGGATTTAGTTTTAATTCATTTTTTGATTGATATTTCTGACATAAGCAGCTCCTACTATGGAAGCTTGTTCACAAATTCTGACTTTTTTCTCACAGTTGCATCTTTAGATCATGCAATTTTGATTTTATAACACCTAACTGTGAATTTTTATCACGCATTTCTGATGTTATAACCAGGGGTGCACACAACTGGTACGCAGGTACGCATGCGCGACATAAATCAGGAATGCGTAATGCCACTTCTGTTACTACGCGCCTTTGCGTAACTGTCGCCAAAATGCAACCTAGGGTCTTTTTGTTAATCTACCCGAGGCAAACTTTCGTTTTAAAGCATAATTAGAATGGAAACGCCACTTTTAAGTTTGACCGTATTTTCGTTTTCGGAGAGCTAGGGGCACGTATATGATAGCAACAAAAATCGCTATTTTTAAAACACTAAGAAGGCTCGACACAACATGAAACTTTGCTCAAAGTATCACCAGGGGACATAACCTCCAGAATTGAGAACATTGTTTGTGTACACAGAGTTTACTAAAAAGAAAGATTTTGAACAACTCACTGTAGCTGTGTCCGCCGGAACAGTAACACCGGCATTTTGTCAGTCAAAAATAGTCGATCTCCGAATGCGAATGAACTGACTCTGAATTTTAGTATTGTTTCTTATGAGGATCCTTTTTCAAATACAAGGTCAATATTGTTTTTCACTTATGACAAAACAACAAATTATCCGTGAATTTTTAATGGAACTAAGCTTTAGGAGCTTTCCATCTTTACTCTCCTCCCTGTTAAGTTGCATTCGGAGATCGACTATTTTTGACTTACAAAATACCGCTGACAGTGAGTTGTTCAAAATCCTCACCATGAAGTCTAATGAACGCGATGGAAACTAAACAATCAAATTACACTTCAAAATAATTATTTCCAAAGATGTTTTCTGTCATTTTAGGTAGTTTTATTCACGCTGATGTAAATTTAAGTGTTCGTTTTTTAAAATAAGTTTGGTCTTTAGTTAGTTATTTGATGCTATAAAACCGGGAATGTGACATCATGATTGACAGCTTCTACACTGAGGAGGACTGCACTTATTAAGACCAGGCTACATATGGGGTGAGTACCAAACACCATCTCCTGGTACTCACCTGAGTAACTCACTGAAAAACTTATGTGCACCCCTGGTTATAACATGCAGTTTATAACTCACAATTACGACTTTACATCACACAATTCTGACTTTATAACTCACAATTATACTTTTATAACATACACAATTCTGACTTCATATCACGCAATTCTGAGAACAAAAAAGAATTGTGTGATGTAAACGCAATTGCTTTATCCAAATACTTTATCAATAGAAAAAAAAATGTAAACCTGTAAAACACGAGTCTTATGCAATCATTTAAGACATTTTTCAGCCCTAGTTCATAAAAGAACCCCATTTAAACTTTCTTATACAAACATCTTCAAGACGCTTTCATTTCACGTTCGGTTCGTTTTTCTCAAATGCAAAATTAAAGTACATTTGGAGGCCCGATCGAAATCGTGTGAAATGTACAATATTTTAAAAGAAAAAAGAAAATAAGTTAAAAGATTTTTTTATTTATCTATTTATTTTTTAGTACCAACAAACTTTGGTAATTTTAGCAGGTTTGAGCAAAAATGCATCCTCTACAATCTCCAAGAATGCAAATGACAAATAAATAGCACAGCGAAATAAACATATACATCTTTAAACATCAACAGTAATACTACATAAAGAGGTTTATGGTACTTACTCTAACACAATTTGTTTTAAATAAAGCTCTGCAGGTTTACTTGGCACGTGTACGTAATAAATATCTAGTCGTCTTCATCAACACACAGCTGTTTCGGCTTGAGTTTTTCAAAACGTTTAAAATCCATATTCTCTCGCGTCCTAATGTATGGTTTGAATACAAAGCAACATAATTGCAATGTACGCAGTAAAGCGTCTCCCACTTGTTGCATTGGTCTACTTATGGTCTAAACATGTTTTGTTCAGTATCCTGCTGTACATGTCCTGTAGCTCCTCTGAAAATATTTGGTTTTTGATGTTCGTTTTCAACATCTTCAGTGTCGCACATACGCTTGGCCAGCTCAGCTTTGAACCTGGATAGATTCAAGACGTCCTCAGCATGTTTCCAACAAAACCAAGATCAGGTTTCATCTGTAGTGTGAGCCGTTTCGTTGTGTTTTCTGGTCTTGGAGTTGGCAGTACAGCGAAGGTTTGTTGGTGTACGTGAGACTGGAGTGTGTGTGTGTGTGTGTGTGTTTAGTCTCAGTGTGATCTGGTTTCAGGAGGCGAAGTATGAGCTCTGCATGGAGTACAGGCGGTCGATGGGGTTTCCCACGCGGGTCTGAAGGGACCCGGCGTCTGACGCGGCCAGAAAGCAGTCGCTCAGGCTGGTCAGAGACGTGTCACTGTCGATGTCGTGGAAAATCGAGTCGTTTCCTAAAGAAGAGCAGACTTAATTAGGTCTAGGTGCTGGAACGGTAGCATGACATAAACCAGATCTTTGCATGGTTTGGGGTTAGTGAGATTTGATCATGATTTTGAAAGAAGTCTCTTCTGCTCACCAAAGCTGCATTTAATTGATCAAAAATACAGTAAAAAATGTGAAATATTATTACAATGTGAAAAAACTTTTTTTTTATTGTAATATATTGTGAAATGTAATTTATTCCTGTGATCAAAGCTGAATTTTCAGCATCATTACTCCAGTCTTCAGTGTCACATGATCCTTCAGAAATAATTCTAATATGATGATTTGATGCTCAACAATTATTGCTGGATAATATTTTTGTGGAAACCATGATATTTTTTTTTCCAGGATTCTTTGATTAATAGAAAGTTCAACAGAACGGCATTTTTTTAAAATAGATTATTTTTTACTAAATCCTAAGCATCCATGCAAAAAAAAAAAAAAATCTTACCGACCCCAAACCTTTTAACATTAGTGTACATAATGAAAGTATAAAAAGATACTCATAATAGTGATCAGAGACAGATGTAATTCGTTTTTACCAATATTTCGTCACCAATATTCTCACTTTGTTACTTCGTTATCAGTTCCTTATTATCATTTCAACTGATAAATACCACAATTTGGTGGATCTTCACAGGCAAATTAACTCAATTAATTAGCTGTTTTACTTTTTTTTTATAGACTGATTCTCAAGTGAGAAAAAAAAAATATATAAAATGATACTAATAATAATATTCATGATACATTAAAAAAAGTGCTGTCAAACCGATTAATCCCAACCAGTATATATATTATATATATATGTGTGTGTGTGTGTGTGTGTGCGCAACACACACACACACACACATATACATATAATATATACATTTAATAGTTATTCAATTATTAATTATACACTATTAAAGATCGATTCTGGATATCAGTTTTTAACTATTTAACCTTAAATATAATTGTGATTGGCTGTAAAAATGCATTATCAATCGATCTCTAATAGTTCTAGTAAAAGTTTCAGCAAGTGCAGCTAATAAACAAATATGGTGAAGTCATTGAACAGAAGCTTCTGATCCTCATGGACACAGTTTACCATAAGCCATAGAAATATGATTACACAAGAGTAGAACTGAGACTCTCGACTGCTTTAATTGGCTATAAAACGTTATATAAAGATCATATAAACGACTCATTTGCGTCAGCTCGCAGCGGGAGCAAACGCACTTATCAATATGTGATGGAGTGCGTCTGAAGGCAGCAGATTCACGCTCGCTTTCTCAGGAGGGCTGCATGTAATTTTATAGTGTAATTTTATAGGCTTTTCAAAAACTAATTGACACTGTTACATAAGGGTGAAGACAGTTTAATGGCACATTTATTTTTAGTGGGCCCATACGTGGCATTAGCGGCCGCTTCTGGTCAATATCATTCCAAAGACAAGCAACGGGACGCGTGTTTTGCTTTGGTAACATCCCTCCGGAGACGTGTGGAAAGAGCGGATGACGTGTTGGTTGCTCACCGTATGGGTTCATGTGATCTCCGGGCATCTGTGGAGGAGTGAGCCCTTGCTGGAACGGGTCTGTGCTGTATCCGTTCGCCTCCATGGACACTAACTGATGTTGTGGAGGCGGAGCCAGTGGCGTATACGAGTTCATCAGATTCTCCATTCGGCTTGAGATCACATCTGCAGAAATGAGTTGAGTTACTAAAAACATAAAGCAGGTGTAAAACCTGCTGGAGAACAGCATATGTTGTGAAAGTGTGTGTGTGTGTGTGTGTGTGTGTGTGTGTGTGTGTGTGTGTGTGTGTGTGTGTGTGTGTGTGTGTGTGTGTGTGTGTGTGTGTGTGTGTGTGTGTGTGTGTGTGTTGGGAGTCTCGTACCTTGTCCGATTCTCTGAGAGTTTTGCTGCTCTTGTTGCTGCTGTTGTCGGCGCGCTAACTTCTTCATCTGAGCGCAAACAGAGGAACATACAAATACTCAATCAACTATATTGAACTCTATTGAAGAGTTACTTAGGCCAGGGGTTTTTAGGGAATACTAGGCAGTGTTATTTTAGTATTATTTATATATAATAGCCTATTATTATAGTTTTTATTAATATTTTTAATTGCCTGTTATTTTTACACTTTCAGTTTTCAGCTTTTGTCATTTTTATTAGTTTTTTTATTTATTATAATATTTAGTTTTTATTTATTATATTTTCCGTTAGTAATTTTAGTGATTTGACTTCTAAAACTAAAATGTGACAAATTAAAAAAATAAATAAATCATAAAAGATAAGATGTAAATACATTAATTAATTCATTAATAGATAAATAATTTGATTAAAATAATAAATAAATAAATAAATAATACATCTACTTAACAGTACAGTAATATAGCAAGCTTATTAATATTTTGAAAGTAGCTATTATTTTTTTCCGTTTTCACATAATTAAAAAACAATATTAATATTTAGGTTTAATTAATTTTTCATTTCAGTTTTAGTTTATTAAGTTTATTTTCGGTTAGTAATTTGAGGGATTAAACTTAAACTGAAGTGTAACAAAATGTAATAATAAATAAATAATGAAAGAAAATATATAAATAAATAAAGTAATAAATAAATATTTTGATTAAAATAAAAAAATTATAGAATGATTTAATAAAAAAAAGATTTGAATAAATAATACAGTACAGTACTATAGCAAGTTTTTATTCATATTTTGAATTATTATTTTTATACTTTGTTTAAATTTTAATCAAATTAAAAAAATAAAATGTTTACATTTTTTGTGCTTAATTTTGTTACGTGCTTATGTCATATATATATATATATATATATATATATGTATTAATTAAAATTTATGTATATTAAATTACAATATAGGTTTAATACATTTTATAAAGTAAAATAAATAAATTATTAAATAGATGAATGAATTATTAATAAATCTGTACAACAGTAATAATACATCTGTAGAACAGTATTAAAGTGAGTAAAAAATATATATACTTACTCTATAGTCACATATTTATAATATTATTTTTCACAGTATACATTGGGTCTTCCTATATGAACATATACAGGCTGGGGGTTCCTCACACAAGGCTGATGTTCTCTGGTTGCCCATTGCATGAACAGATTGAGCAGCTGTGAGCTAGGCTGGGTTCAGATCTCTGGATGAGCTCACCTTTGCTCTTTGGTTCTGAAACCACACCTGGACGACTCGAACGCTCAGACCGGTCTCAGCAGCCAGAGTCTCTCGGACCTGAAACAACACCGGCAATGAACATCAACGTCTCGTATACACTGTAACAAGAAAATGTCAAAGTTGTAAATAAAACCAAAGATTTTAGAGTACGTTTTACAAGAAAATACTTCTCAGTCTTTCTATACTCAATGTGTTACTTGCAGTTTCTTTGTAATTATTTGTAAAATTTGACTGCAATTACTGAGTGACAATGGTTTGCAACACTGTATCTTGTGTTGTAAATGATGTGATCTTATGTGATTTTTAAGATTTTCTTATTATGTGTTTTAATGTTGTGATTTTATGTGCTCTTTATGTTCTTGGGTCTTTTTCTGTCATTCTGTCTTGTCTGTTGGTTATTCTTTAAATGAACTTACTTGCATTGTGGAAAGCACATTGGTCAACAGCTGTTGTTTTAAATTGTGCTATACAAATAAATTGTCATTGTCAAGACAGTTGTTTGTCAGTGTACGCAGACATTTGACCAGCAGCGTGAAGTCTGATCCCTCAGCGTTTGCCATTTGTATATGAAATATTCACATTATTCATTTAGCAGACACTTTTATCCAAAAGTGACTAATAATATGCATTATGCAATAGTCAAGTCAAGTCAAATAGCGCTTTTTACAATATAGATTGTTTCAAACGAGCTTTACAGTGATAACAGGAAAATAATGCAACAAAGTTTGTAGTTTTAAAAGAAAATAGTGTCATCGCCCAGCTTAAGTAAGTTCAGTGATGGTTCATTTTTGTTGTAAAAAAGTTATACATTTAGTTCATTTATATATACAGCCGCTATGGAGAAAACCGTGATGTCATCGTCCAGCTCAGTTCAGTTCTCATTTAATAGTGTCAATCCACACAGATCAATAATATTGTTGAAGCCAATAGACGGTCCATTGACATGCTGTGTGCCGCTACTATGCTGTTTTCAAAGGCTACTCATTTTGTTTTGGAGTCTCCTACTATAGGTTTACGAAATAAAAAAACACACACATAGCACATCACCTCTTTTTTCACAGTGTCTGAAACAGTTAGTTTGAAGATTCAGTCTCTCTAAACTGTGATTGGTCGACCGCTTACAGCGCGTGTCAGAAACCAAACTTCCATTATCATATCTGAATTTCAGATCCAGAGGCTCCAGTGATACCAACAGTAATGATGTCGTTCATTTTACAGTATCAGTTTGAGCCCTAGTCCTCATCCTTATGAAGAAAACAGCGTCTTTTCTAAATGTCCACAGCACGAACCAAACTCTTCCGATCTCAGCTACAACTACAGTGTTTGAGGGCGAATTCGTAGTCTCTGGATATCAAAAGTGTTTCTAATATGGTTGGTTTTAATGCGAATGTTAAAAGTTGGTTATTAGATCGGTTGTTTTAGTGATGAATTTGTATTAGTGTATTATGTGGATGTTTAATTGTGATTGTAAACTTTGCAAATGTGGAAACTTATTGTAGCTTTTGCATTTATAATAGTATGCAATGCCAAAGTAACCTATCACTATGAGGGAAGTTTGTGCTTTACATCAAGGACCGCAAATGGAAATTAGTTTTTTAATTTATTGCGTTATCCTTCACAAATGAGTGTATATTTCACTCATTTTTTGTCTAATAAATCAAATCAAATCAAATCGTTTCCTATTTTTTAGGAGACAATAACTTCATTTATCTTTGATCTTTAAAACTTTGCAGGCCTTTCACATTCACAAACAGTCATTGCATGAAAGGTAATAACCGAAACAGCATAATAGGCGCACTTTAAAGTAGCTAAAGACAGGTTGCACATTCAAGAAATATATATATTATGAAGACTTCAGATGACGCAAACTCTGAATCAACATGCGCCAATGCTACATTTTTCTAAATGTCATAATATTAACAAAAAAATGTATTCATTACTTCAATGAGCTCATTGTTTCTGCCTTAAATTATTACACAGTTTAAATGAATACATTTTTAGCTAACTGTGATTTGTATATGTACATTTCTGAAATACATAACTTAGACAGTTTCCTCTGATAATAGATCACTCTCAATTGTAAAGTGGACTCATCTGGACTTTGAAACGATGTGTATTGTGAAAAGCGCTATACAAATCAATGAAAATTGAATTGAATATTCATTTAAGGTTGGTTTGGGGTTTATTTGAGCTCTTTTGAAGGAGGTCTCACCTTTCTGCATGGTTTGGAGGAGACCTCGAAGGAGGCCTTGAAAGCGCGCCGCTGCTGTGTGGTGAGGATAGTGCGAGGTCTTTTGGGTCTGCGCGGGTCTTTGCCATCATCGCTGCCTTTACCCTGTCCTCCTGCTCCTTTCTCCTGCTTCACATCCACCTCTTCATCCTCACTCTTATCTGCAGAAACACACATTTTAACATCACCTTTCTTCGGAGAGCAGACGAGAGCAGAGGCTAGAGTTGTGTTCTCACCGGAGTCGGACATCTCCGGGCTGACGGAGCGCAGCAAGTCCTTCTCTCTCTCGTAGTCGCTCTTACACAGCAGCTGTCCCTCCTTCAGGACGAACTCGTCTCCTTTACACAGCTGCCGCTCACACACACAGCAGCAGAAGCAGTTCAGATGATACACACTCTCCAGTGCGCGCATCACAAACTCAGTGGGAGCGATCTTCTCCAGACAGCCGCTGCATTTGGTCGCGAACAACCTGACGAGGAGAAACGACTAATTAAAACTGACTCAAAACACGTCCATGGTCACATTGTACATAATTAGTGCACGCATAAGTGTGTGTTTTCATATTATTTCTTTAAAATTCATATTTATTTTACTCTGAAATGACTAATATTTTTGCTGATGTAACCAAGGCGAAGACAAATAATATTAGCAAATAGTATAATAGTTAATTTTCCATAAATCAAGTTAAATGCATTGCATTTGTTATTTTAAATGTTTAAAAGAATTCACAATGTTTTTGCTGCAAAAGAGTTTTTTTTTTTTTCAAATATACACTACCGTTCAATTTGGAGTCTTTTTTTAAAAAGAAATTAATGCTTTTATAAAGCAAGGATGCCCTGCATTTATTAAAGGTGACAGAAAAGACATTTATAATGTTAGAAAAGATTTCTATTTCAAATATATGCTGTTCTTTCAAACTTTCTATTCAGCAAAAAATATTGCGCTTTCTACAAAAATATCAAGATGCACAACTGTTTTCAACATTTCAAATGTTTCTTGAGCATCAAATCATCATATTAGAGTGATTTCTGAAGGATCATGTGACACTGAAGACTGGAGTAATGATGCTGAAAATTCAGCTTTAATCACAGAAATAAATTACATTTTACTATATATTCAGAACAGAACAGTTGTTTTAAATTGTAATAATATTTCACAATTTTACTATATTTATTATGAAATAAATGCAGTCTTGGTGAGCAGAAGAGACTTCGTTCAAAAACCTTTAAAATCTTACTGACCCCAAACTTTTGAATGGCAGTGTAAAGTAAGTGAGTTCACCGATTTTAAGTGAATTATGCTCAAAACACTATATGCAAAAACCACATATTGTAGGCTACACAGCAGGATCTCTGGTCTTAATTATTTGAAGTACAACGTGAAACAGCAAAGCACAAGAGTGACTCATTTCTTTGGTTAATACTCAAACCCCCTGACGTGAAATCCGCTGCAAAGCTCAATAATTCTGAAGCATTAAGCAGATCTTCCCTCAGAGCGGCGTCTTCTCCCACACCAATAAAGTTCATCCATAAATATCACAAGCGCACAGATCAATGCGTGACTGACACCGGACGCCCCAGCGGTGCCGCCGCGCTCATGATTATGACTTTGAAAGAGATTTTTAATAAGCCTCGAGATATGATGGTATCATGAGGTGAGACGCCACAAAAGAGTTTTACAGAGGAGTCAATATTCAGAGAAGGACCCACAGGAAGGAAAAACCACAGATGAGATCTCTCTGATATCTCTACTGTTTCTCACAGACAGCATTGAAGGAGACTTTTGCTGAAGATGTTTCTCCTGACGGAAAGACCGTGGCGGTCTGGCAAGTTTTCAGAAGAGATCTCAAACTGTGCTCAAACTCGCCAACGTCACAAAAACTGCTATCAAAAGTCAAAGATCTCAACAAACACATTTCTTTTAGCTTATTGTATGACATATTTGTCTCATTATTACGGAAGCGTATTGCATTCACTTGAAGAAAAAAATCTACTCTGTTTTTCTGAATTAACGAGTTAATTATCTCAGAATTACGAGATAATCTTTCATGGAAAAAAAGTTTTTGCTCTGTTTTTCTGAATTTCTGAGTTTTTGAGATAATCAAGTCATTAATTCAGAAAAACAGAGCAAAAAAAAATTTTCCATGAAAAATGATCTTGTAATTCGGAGATAGTTAACTCGTTAATTCAGAAAAAAAGAGCAAAAACTTTTTTTCCATGAAAAATTATCTCGTAATTCTAAGATAATTAACTCATTAATTCAGAAAAACAGAGTCGATTTTTTTCTTCAAGTGAATGCAATACGCTTCCGTACATTATACCATTGGGGTCATTTTTAAAAAAGAGATTAGCCTACTTTTATTCATTATGGACTCATTAAATTGGAAAAAAAAATGACACTAAAGACATTCATAATGTTACAAAAGATTTCTATTTCAAGTAGTTCTTTTGAACTTTCGATTCATGAAAGAAATGTGTCAAGGTTTCCACAAAAATATGAAGCAGCACAACTGATTTCGACATTGATAATAATCATAAATGCTTCTTGAGCATCAAATCATCATATTAGAGTGATTTCTGAAGGATCATGTGACACTGAAGACTGGAGTAATGATGCTGAAAATTCAGCTTTCATCACAGGAATAAATTACATTTTACAATATATTCACAACATAGAAAACAGTTGTTTTAAATTGTAATAATATTTCACAATATTACTGTTTTTACTGAATGTTTTTGATCAAATAAATGAGAGAATAAATAAAAGAGACTTAAATAAAATAAATCTAACAGGACCCCAAACTTTTGAACAGTAGCGTATATTATTTCTCCTACAAGAAGCAACAGAGAAAAAGTTGATAATTATATGATTCCATTGAGCCTGAATGAGCAACTTTCAGCAATACCGTTTTCTACAACGTACAAGATGTTCAATCCTCTCACCCAAACCCTTTCTTTCTCCATCTTCTGCTAATGTTTAATAATCGCACACGTTTCCCTTCTTCCTCTGTCTGTCTCTTCCCATTATGCTGGTGTCTGTAATTCCCATGATCCTTCTGGAGATGTCCCTTTCTTATATTGTGCTTGAGAACTAATCCTGTCCTTTTCTCTGGCCTTTGTTGACAGGACCACAGCGCCGGCTTTGTCCCGAGTCTTTGTCAGAACAGCCGTGAGTGACACTTGCATCAGTGCGACTCTTCAAGTAACGTTAGCAGAACGTTCGTTCAGTGTTATCTGTTCTTAAAAAAAATGTTATTGTTCATAATTTTTCCCCCCCGGGAACATTTTAGTTGGATGTTTGTCTAATGGTTTTTAAATGTTACTACCTGTTTCAGAATGTTCGGAACATTCAAAAGTTTCAGAATGTTCGGAACATTCAAAAGTAACATTCACATTATGTTCTCAAAATTATAAAATGGAATGTTCCCGAGTCAAGAATGCACATGCACAAATCCCTACGACTACAAACCACAAAAACTCGGTTACACACTGAAGATTTACATTAGTAAAACTAACTATGAGTAATGATTGTTTGACTTAAGACAAGCAATGTGGAAATTAACTAAAAGAAGATGGTGCATAAGATTTTTGGGTTACACTTTATTTCAATGGTCCACTTTAGACATTCTTCTAACCAAGTAAATTTGCAACATGTGCATTAACTCTCATTAGAGTATTAGACTGTGTTCGAGTTAGTAGAATAAGTTGACATTACAAAGTTAGCTACTTATAGTTAGTAAAATGTCTATAGTGGACCATTGAAATAAAGTGTAACCGGTTTTTGGTCTCTTTTATGTGTGTGTGTGTGTGTTAGAGAGAGAAAGTACCATAAGAAAGAACTTGTTTTGATTGACACTGTGCAGTTGTTGAAACTAATCCCTCTTTAATACCATTAAGGACAACCTTAAGAAGTGAAAGTCTTCACGCTCAGTCAGTCATGCTTAGAAAAGCCTTCAGATCTGTGGTCTTCAATGTGTGCATGTGATATTGATGTTTGTATGTGTGAGGGGGGATTTTATTTTTCCTTCTCTCTGTATTTGTTTGCTATAGATCAGAAATGTAACAAACACAAACAATAATTTATCCCTCGTTTGCCGCCACCAAAGTTGTTCAGAGCAGACACGTCTGAACGGGCTTATGGAAAACCACCAAACATCTCTCCAAACACCAAACACCAGCCCGACCGAGAGAGAGAGAGCTTAAGACCAGAGATTACTTACAACAACATCTCTTCAGATCCGCTCTAGGTGCTTTAGAAACAAGAAGACATCATGTAGAATTCACTTATTTTACCTCTGCGTATCAAAGTTTATGCATCAACTTTTGCTTCTAAAATTCCTTTGGAGAAATGAAAACACAAATTATTAAACTGTTAATTGTAAAAGTATACAAAATGAACGTGGAACAGCTCATTCGAAATATTCTCACATCAAAGCAATGGTTAACTGAGGGAAATCGTATCAATTCTCATTAAAACAAATTGTTAATAAAAAATTAAGTTGTTATATTAATTTAGAAAATTTATTTTTAAAAATCAACCCCAAAAATACTGTGTAACAAACTAACACAAAATAAAATAAAGTAAACAATAATAAAATAAAACAAAACACAAATCATGAGAAAGATTTTCACATCAAATCAATGATAAACTTTGAGTGAAATGTGATGAATTTTCACATGAATGAAAAAAAAAGTGTGTTCATAAAAATAAACGTTACAATTAATTAGTTATGTTAATAAAATGAATATAGAAAATTTTTTTTTTTAAATAGTGATGGTCTTATATAGCCTAGCTAGATAGCATTATTGAGTATTATGGGCATATTCATGCCCAAAAAATACTGTGTAACAAATTAAAAATAAAATAAATAAAATATTAAAAAACAGCCTCATTTAGAGAATGTCATAGACACATGTGGCTAAGGAATCACCAAGCAACCACACATCAATGTGCTAAAAACAAATTGGCAACCCCATAGCAACACCCTGGCAACAAGCCACAGCAGGTTTGCATGGGCAAAACAAGACAACAATTTCAGAGAAAATACTTTTCCTCTCTTACTAACTAACAATCCCATCCTACAAGTGTTGATCTAACACTCATTGACACAATATTCATTGTTGAGCACACTTATTTTTACATCTGCGTATCAAAGTTTATGCATCAACTTTTGCTTCTAAAATTCCTTTGGAGAAATGAAAACACAAATTATTAAACTGTTAATTGTAAAAGTATACAAAATGAACGTGGACCAGCTCAGAATCTCACTAGAAAGGTTTGATTTCATATTGAGATTTTCATATATAAGGCACCTGAGGAATGCGAGACACATGCATTCAATTGTAACTGGTACGTCATTTCAAAGTAATTATATCCTTTTTAACCAATCTTTTTACATTGCCTTTTGATGGCATTATGGACTTGCAGACCTCTCAATGTGTGTGTGTTTGAGTGCGTGTGTGCGCCTGT